TAGATCTGATCAGAAAAAAGGCCATCAAGTAATTGTGTAAAATATTTGTCGTCTGAAAATGTTTAAATTGTGCAGCTAAAAACTATTATTTCCTTAAGATTAATGTACTGATGCTTGGTCATTGAGTCAATCTACGTTTCGAAGAATGTGACTGATACAGAAATTACGTGTCGTTACACATAATGTACATTTTCGTATGTTTTCCTTGGTTTTCAATTGACATTGGTCAAATAAAAGACACTTTCTATGCCTTTTAAACAATTAATAACTTAATAAACATTTGAGGAAGAAATTAAACATCCTGGCGTTTATTGGAGACATCTGTTTTAGATTAGTGGTGGTCTCGGTATCTTCAAATGTCATGCCACGATTACATTAACACTATCTTTTATTTATGAACACAATGTGATATATTACACAAATCAACATTGTTTCTGAAATATATTGATTTCATAAACATGCAATATTTCTCGGACAAATTAGCATATTTTCAGATAAACTCGGTTAAATATCATCCCACATAATCTATTGGGAGAAATTTTCCAATAATCTATCATTTCAAACTAAAATGTTCACAAATGCAAAATGAAACAGGAACGAGGTCGAAGATCACGTGAAGCTGACAGATCGTTGTTTGTCACGTCTCTTCCGGTCGCCCTCATCTTCCTCACACGAAAGTTCAGTAATTGGATCAAATGTCCATCCAGGAAGCGGGGAATACCCCACAGAGGAGGATATCCTACGCGGCAGACTGCACGTGCTGGCGTAAACAAAGTCACTCCTGTCCGTGGCTGTGGATCGCCTACGTTCGTCCTCCTCCTGAAGCTCCGATAATCCGGGTTCTTTTGAGCAACACGTACCCGGCTCTGAAATTGTAGTTCACACATTAGAACAACGTAACACTCCTTTACTATAATTTCATTGGAAAACATGGACTTATGGAGTATGATTTGATTTACAAGTACTTATCTAACAGGCTCAAATAAAACATTGGCTACACTGCCTTTGAATGAATTCTTAGGATAGGTAATATTTCACAGGAGCGGCTAGAAAATCCAGGGGGGGGGGCTTTCTGAAAAGTTTAAGGACAACAGAAACCAATTGCAAGGACAGATTCACATATTTTTTTCCGACAGAATGGGGTGGGATGGGTGGGGTGTCTCTACCAAGTAAAAAAAAAAAATAAAAGATCAGGACAGAGGGTGGTGCGCCCTGATTCAAGAACAAAGGAGTCCGAGTCTTAGAATCATTTTCTATTTTGAAAATCTGTCTGTTTTTGCTCCAAAGTGAACGTCTTTAAAATATAAATTTTATAATTATAATAATTAAAATGAACACGAATAGAGGAATTCTGAGTTAAAATCTACACATCTTTCAAGAAAATTTTGATGATTTTGATACTTAAAAATACTATGCATGCAAAAGGAATTGAGAGTCCTAGAGCTCCCAGTTTCTTTTCCTGTATCAACATGATAACTATAGCATAGCAACCAGGGGTGAATACAGATATTTTTCCCAGGGATTGATAGTGGGGTCCCTACCATTAAAAAAATCTACTAAGAAAGAAATTGCACAAACAATAATATCATATCATATTAAATGAGGGAGGAAGGAGGTGTAGTTGGACACTTAGAAAATAGGTCCTTTGATCTTAGTAGATTTGAAAGGACATTAAAAGTTCAATATGCTAAAACGTGCCCAAATTGAAGAGTTAACAACCACGGTTGAAAAATTAAAACCAATACTGAAGTTTTCGCAGATGGAAGGACAAATAGGACTGCAAGCATTACCACCCCCCCCCCCCCCCCGCCCAATCGAGGGGGAAAAAGAACTTTATGAATTTTCTCTGGCACACAACTTTATTCTTTCGTCAGCACATCAATTATTTTTTTTTGGTGTTTGCTAATTGTCGATTTGTCAGAGAAATATCCGAGAGGACCTGAGTCTTCCGAGTTACTGGGGGTCCTCAAAGTTAAAGAAAACTGAATGCGTAAAAAAATGACATTTAGACAAAATGTAAGGTCAGCTACAAAAGTTTATTAAAAATAATTTTAGCAATATGGAAAATGAAATGATGATCCATATTAACTGAGAGTTGTAGAATGTATTATTAACTTTTATGTATTGGCCCTATCTATTTCGGCGTTTGTTATAAAACCACAATGCAACTTGTCAAATATACTTTGGTAGTTGTGGACAGGTGGTCTGGTGGAAGATGAATTGGAATTCCCCATTAGCTAATTTAACTTTTTTCTAGTTCTAAATCAATCCTTTAATTGGAAAGGGCGTAAAGAAATGCTAAAGCTAGCACTATGAACATTTTAGAACTGACTGAAAACATTCAAACAGAATCTGCACGTTGTGTTCCAGTTCCCAGAATTCCGAAATCAGATAGCACATTACCTTGCCATTATCGAAAAATGACCAAATTTGACTTGTCAAGAGCTAAAAGGAGGGAAAAAATTGCGGTTTCACATAAGAAAATTATTTCAATGATTAAAAAAAAACTTACACGTCTTACCCTCCTTTTACAAAAGGAGCCTTATTACAATGTAGATCGAAATTAAAAGGTATATAAAGATTTTTAAGGGTACGTACACTTCTATAAGAAATCTAACTGTGTTAGCCACCCAAGGCATTACCTCAAACTCTAATAACGGATGGAGATAGCAGGTCAATTAGGAATCAGTTCAAGTAAAGCATTAGTTTTTATTTTATTTGATTACTCAGTCTTTTAGATGTTATTTGATTAATCCTACCTGTGATGAGTACTTTACAATATGGCGTCACCTTACGCACATTCTTCCGTCTCTGTACTTCTCCAGAGGAATGTCGTCTGCTAAATAAAGGAAACAGGAAGTGTACTTCTAAGGCAAAAAACTAGACATGACCACTTTTCCTTAAACCGGAAATATCTGACATCAATCTCTTCCATATAATGATTTTTCCTAACGAGATAGGGAGTTTAAATTTATATTTTTTCAATGAAATGTAATTATATCAATTATATCACATATATATGGTGGCGATTTTCGATCTTAAATCATATTTCGATGTGGGACGGTAATAATATGAAGGAAGTCCATAGGTTGGGTAGCACGCATTGTACTCTCTTTTGAGAAGGGAACAGGCATAGCCTACATCAACACAGACCCTTATGTTCTGATTGGGGTAAACGTGTAAATGTCGACCCGGTGACGGTATACACTATAACTGACATTTCGACTGAATTTACTTAAGAATACTTAACACAAACAAAATTTTTAAGGCTGGGTTGATGTATATTTTTTGACCAATTTTGATTAGAAATGACACAAGTAATAAATCCCTAAAATATAAGATATCGTAAGTTTTCTTTGGTGCTTAGAAATGTGACTTTGTGTCGGTTTCTATGTAACTCCATATAAAATTTTGCACAACTTTTTGACCTTATGGCAAAATCTTATATAATTCTCCCACTATACCTGGCAAACATTATTCGGGCTACCAATTTAAAAATAAATTTATATATGAGAAAAATTGTTGATTTCTGAAAAAAGAGTTTGTGTTATTTATCCTTAACAGACATGTTGTTTCTATGACTTCTACATAAATTCACACAAAGCATGTCATAAGATGACCAGCCACTCACTCGTTGTTAATCCATTTTCTCAAGTATTCCATTTATACATCTATTTTTATCTGCCACAACTTATTAGAAAATATCGGAAATTCGGAAAAAAAAAAAATTGAACCCGCTTTTTGTTGTTAAAAAAATAATTTTTTGTCATTTACTTTTGATATATACATATAATTCTAAGTTGACGATAACAATTATATTCATTTCTTTTACTATTTCAATAAAATTTAAACGTAGAATCGAGCTTGATAATATACAACACATATTACTTCAGTCCGTTCTTTCAATTTTTTTCTTTATTCGTACACGATAATTTACTTATACCTTTCTAAAGAAAGGAGAAAAAGAATATTAAAACAAAGATCAAATGAATTTGAACGAAATTTAAAGAAATTCCCCCAATTAATCAGTAAAGATTTTGTCTCTTTTGTCTCTTTTTTAATTATTACTTTGTAAACTTTTTCCAGTTTATCGAAATTAGAGAAATTTTAATTTTTCAAGAGTTACTTGTTCATAATTTAAGTCCGGAATCGATGGAGTACATTAAAAGTGGATTAACAACGAGTATAGATGTGATTATAGATGTAAGTGTTGGTTTTCCTGTGACTGTTAAGTTCATTTATGTATAAGTTGTAGATATAACATGTCTATTGCATTGCGTAATTAATGGCATTTGAGTCAAAATATCAGTTGGAGCTCAGATCGTCAAACGGCCGGTTCGAAAAAAAGCGTGAAGATTTGCCAAGAGAAGTGGATGTAGGGTAAAAACCTATCGACTTCTTAAAGAGAAAACAGACATTGCAATCAACTGAAAAATGTTTGTGCCTACCTCAAGTAGTAAAAATTGTTTACTTTAAAGATTCTCCTTAATTATTTTTTTTTTTGATGTTGTATAAGGATGAAAGGGAAATAAAGGCGATACAAACAAAGACTGATATTTGTGCGAGTGGGAAATACTGAAGGCGAAATCAATATCAACAACATTTCATAATTACGTGAAAATGAGGTAGATGTAAGTATTCTCGAAATGAATTTCCATCACCTTGAATAATCCAAAACTAGACTAAATGAATACGGAGAAGGAATGCGAGAATGTAATTCAAACAGAGGCATTGATCTTAAACACATTTGCTTATAAATATACCAGTAATGCTAGTAATCATATTTAAAAATACCCATGGAAGCCAAAATGACGTAATAACCTGTAATTTTCTTCTTTAGAATTTTTCCTTTTCTTTTCCTCCCTCGACTTTTTCTTTTCATCGCACGAGTGCCGCCGCTGTTTTTCACTTTTTAACGATGACCTTCGCCGATCCCCGGACGTACATTCAGGTGGAGTGGTCCGAATTTTCTCTTCCTTTGTTGCAGATGACATTTTTCTTTCTTTATCTGAATATTTAAGAACTTTTTCTTCAAACGATAATTTCCTGACAATTTCTTTTCTTTCCTTTCCCCCCTTGTAGCCATCGTCTGCTAGGTAAGCGGATATGAGGCGCGAGCTTCTGGAATCGGTGTCGGGATCTTTCGAAGCTTGTTCTTCGCTCGAATTCCAGACTTCTCCAGTAATCGACACTTTCCTAATTGTTGAACTTTCTGAAAAAGGCAACAAATGATTATTAGCATCTTTTTAGTTATTTTATGTTAAATGATGACCGGAAGTGTAGAATATACTGTTTCTGCTTACTTTTTGAACTTCCAGTATTTTCCGCCTGTAAATATATAAAATCAAAAATCTTATTTTTGCATTTCTAGATATATAATAAGATTGTACAAAACAATTTTTATAAAGGAAATAGTGTTATTCAATTCAAATTAGAAATATTAATGTTAAAACACATACCATGAAGCATTTAAACATGTCTGTGACGTCACGCAGGGAGTATTCTTTGTCATCCTGGATATCTGTCGTCAGCGATATCTTTGAATAAAAAAAGACATATAAAAAATATCTCCCTCCAAAAAATCAGGATATCCAAATTCATTTCATTGTTCTCTTTTAAATCTCTAGTTCGCTCTCATTCCACTTGAAGTTCTATTTTGAATTTTCACGAGAAAGAGGTGAAGAAAAGTATAGTGTGGTTTTATGTATGCATGTGACCCAGAAAGTTTTTATCGAGGTACTGAAAGTCAGGCTCATTTTCTGAGCAGCGACCAAGAACCCTTTTACAGAAGCATAATAAAATGTAACAGCTCCTAGGAGAAGTTCCGAAACTGAAACAGTATATTACGAAAAAAAAAGAAAAATCAGGAGTCTAAAAGGCTTCAGTTGCATCTAACATTGCATTCAAACCATTTCTAAAGTTTAGAAATGAAATTCAAAATATAAGACGGTAAACAAGACGCCATATTTATTGTTTTTGACCTTATAACACGGTTCGAATTAATCTCACTCTGTCAAAATGACTAAAAAGTTCATGCAAACAGGCCCAGTCTAAAATTGATGATAAAACCTTACACATCTTTTTTTTTTTTTAAATAATCAATCAATCGACAAAATTATAAGGAATGTTTAGAAAAGCCCTTCAAGTATTTTCTATAGTTGTGTTGATTGCCCCAACACCAGTTGAAAGCATGAGGATGCTCTAAGACTTTGAGTACAAAATCATCTATAGCTAGAGTGACTGTAGACCAAAGAATTTTTTGTATATAGGTACATTAACTTCAAATGTTCAGTCATTTAATTTTCAAAATAACTATTATCATTTAACATTGTGAGAACCTAAATATTATTTTAACGACATGGGTCACGTTGTGTTTATAAATTCAATCATATTTATTATCATCGATTGTAAGAATGCTGACATTGGAGTGTTCCTACGCTTGTGACGTATTACCTGATCTTTGTAATGTAAGTTTACATGACATTCCTGAACTCTGAATCTTTTCGAACGTGCTAAAATTGTTGGCCCCTGTGTGATGATGTTTTGTTTACACATAAAGACCCTCCGTTAAATGTCTACGGATAATATATCTTATAAAAAGTAATCTACAAGATTTTTTTTTCATACATAAGATTATTTTGTTTTGCAAAAGGCTTTACCTTTTTTTGACCCAGCAGAAGTGCGTTAAGCGTGACCTTTTCGTTTTCTATCTGGCAGTTGAAGGACCTAGAGAGCACACCGTAGACCCGGGCTGTGCCATCAGATAGAGAAACTCGCCGAGGTACTGAAACAAGAAGTGTACAGGTTACCTAATTATAGATATAGACCCGGACCGTGCCATGAGATAGAGAAACTCGCCGAGGTACTGAAACATTAACTTAAGCAGATAATTTATAGATAAAGGGGGAAATATGCCGAGGTACTGACCAAGGAAGCGTACAAATTATGTAATTATAGAAATAGGAGGAAAAATGCAGAGGGACTGACACAGGAAGTATACAGATTATCTAATTATAGAAATATGAGGAACACGCTGAGGTACTGAAACAGGAAGTATATGGATAATCTAATTATAGACACGCGTCAAGACAGATTAAATCGGCTACGGAAATTAGCACTTGATTAAATAATACCACTTTGTTTCACCTTGTTGTGTAATATCCAAGCCGTCCCAGTCAATTTCCGGATCCATGATAACTTTTCGTGGTCCACGAGACTTTGCTGCCTTATCCACCACTACGCCTATCTCTACCATGATGACGGGTTTGTCCAGAATGAAGTCCACCAGCTGGGGACAGTCCCGGGGGTTAAGGAGGACAGCGGACAGGTGAATCAGATACACCTGGTGGGGGTTCTCGTCTGACGTCACAGACAGCTCGCTCCGGCGCTTGAACCTTGAGGTTTTTCGTGGCTAATTAAAATAAATTGAAATAATATCTAATAATCAAACTATATTCTCTCATCAACTGCTTATAAAAAGACCAATGATGTCAGTTGATGAAACTTAGCAATGTTTTTTTGTTTTTACTAGTAGCAGTTTGATAGAACTTCTTTCATCATTCTTTATTACCTTAAACTATGCACTGATGATATGCTGTTTAATCCGAGTATGAAATGATAATATTTTTTTCCCCACATTAAGTTTCAGGTGTGTAAAACATAATCACCATCATTCTGGGGAAAATTAAATCACTGGAAAAACCAAAATGTTAATGTACTATTAAAATACGACAGCATTGAATTGATCTTTAGAAATTCTAAAGGGTACTTTTTGTCTTTTGATGCCATTCATTCTGGAATTCAACAAATTAATTACCGATCTTTAATTTTAAATGTTACATCAATGCAGGTGGTATCATAATCTTAATTATGAATTCTCTTTTTTACCTAAAAAAAAATTACGTCAATTTTGAATAAAAATAGAATAAAATAGACTGAGATAATTGATTTAAACCTTGTCAATGGGCTAATGTAACATGTACTGTTAATCTCCCAGGGTCTGATATGTATTCGCTTATTTGTTGTATGAAATTCATGAACAATACTGCTGAGGGAGAATTACTATGTATAGATATGTTTATAATTCAGTATATTTGACGTGTTATAAAAGATTCGACTATGCTTAGGGTATATGAACAGTTTAAGTATTTGATACGCTTTTCTAATAGGGAAATGAGATTCATTTTTTTTTTAAATCACAAAATCGAATGTAGATTATAAGGCCAAATTAGTATTAAATTCTTGAGAAGAGGGTACAATCAGAAAAAAAATAAACAATCCCTCGAATGAAACATCAAAAACCGTAATCCCCAAGAGTCTTAGTAGTGACCTCCTAAAGAAAGCTACAGTAAGAAAGGACTGGTCGTGTAACTACACATAGTATAACAGCTGTCGTCTTGTAAAACTTTCTACAATGTAATACTTATCTTCCTACTGAAACGTCTTCTTATCGAATACATCAATGAAATATGGATGTTGACTTTAACCTTGGCCATAACTTTTGAAGGAGCTAGAGCTTTCAGATATATCACATTGGTATTCCTTGTGACAAGACAGTTCTTTGAGTACCAAACTTTGAGACCTTATGATCTTGATCTTTGAGTTTTACCAACATTTGTAAATTTTTAACCTTGCCTGTAACTTTTGCACGGTTGGCGCTAGGGCTTTTATATTTCAATTATGTGTTCTTTATGACAAGAATTTCCCTTTGGTACCAAAATTTTTCACCCCATGACCTTGACTTAGGAGCATGACCTACTTTTGAAAAACTTTAGCCATTACCATATTTTCTGAATGTTTTATGCTAGGGCTTTCATATTTCTCACGTGTATTCCTTGTGAAAAGCCCTTTCTTTGGATACCAGCATTTTTGAACTCCTGACCTCGACCTTGGAGTTTGACCTACATTTGCAAAACTTTAATCTTGGCATTGAGCTGCCATACGGGAGCATCCAAGTTTCACAAACACACCTTGTTTATCTTTTCTTTTCAACCTGTGATAAAAAGCTTATACTGATAGAAATTTAATTGTAATCGCTTGCAATACAGTTGATGACAATGTAACAATTTGCATGCAAAACACACAGGACTACGTGTATAGTTTGTTTGATGTGGGGGCTGGCAGCTTAAAATTTTCATCGTATGTTATGCAAAGAACTTATACAATTATAAGGTGGCGTGGTGTGTAAAAGCACGTTTTCTCAATGGAATTTGGTCCATTTTCTGAAACGAAATCACACTATTTGTAGTTTTGGGGAGAACAATTTAGCCTTTAGTGTTTCGAGTACATTAACTAATTAACAAAAACCTCCAATACTCTAAAAGATAGTATGATTTTTGATTGATTAATTGATTGTTTGTTGTTTAACGTCCCTCTTGAGATTTTTTCACTCATATGGAGACGCCACCACTTGCCGGTGGAGGGCTGCAAATTCTGACCTATACTCGACACTTACGGCCATTGAGCAGTGAGGGATCTTTTTCGTGCCAGCACCTACTGCGACACGGGACCTCGGTTTATACGGTCTCATCCGAAGGACCGGTCTCCACGTCCCACAGTGGGATTCGAACCCGCGACATAAGGATCAAGTATGATTTTTGAGGGTCGAATTCTAAACTACATTGAAGTCTGAAAGTTTCTTCCAGTTTCAAGCAACAACACAGACTTGGCCACTGTAAGAATTTATTTCCTCACATCAATACAGTCCTGGACAATTGTAAAAATTTAGTGCCCCACAGTATATAAACCAGTGTCTTAGGTCCCCTCCTCTTCCATCGTAACAAATTTGTCCCTTACTGTATTAATTTAGACCCCAAGCAATACACACCTGAACCTTTGTTGTTTGTTCCTCTATTTCTGGAGATCCCTCCTTAATCACTGTTTTAGTTTCCATGACAACTGGTGAAACTGTAGCTATAAAAGTCAAATCAAATTTATAGAATTAACCCCTACTTCAAGTCTGTTTATGTAAATTATTTATCAGAAATCGTATTAGCATCCTTTCAGATCCTTAAGATGATCAAAGCCCGAGTCCCCATATACATGATGTTGGTGTACCCCTCTATTTTTACAACAGATATGGGAAGAAGACAATTATGTATGAAAACGAATCAGTTCCTGAACATGGAAGCAGGTAGATCAACTAACAATGGATAAATAAACTTCAAAAGCATTCACAGCTATGAAATATCTTTTGCATGAAAGGAAATGAATTGTTTATTACGACAGAAATTTTGACGAGCTTAATTTGACATGAGCCTCGAGTTCATCAAAACTCAGTGAAACGATATGCAAGAAAAAAATTATTGTCACAGGGAAAATGTATTGGTGGGCTGTACATACACTTTCATCATACAGATTCACGCTTTATTACATTTATGAAATACAATTTAATGAAACAAAGAAAAGAAATTCATCGCTCTGATAATTGATGTAAGAAAAAGCTAGCACAGCAGAAGCGTAAAACTGATTGTTTTAAATAATTAAAAAAAAAAAAATTAAATCATACAATACCATAGCACGTGCATGAAGCTCCCATATTCCTCTGAAATTAACGACGTTTATAACAACAATAAAAGAAAAGCTAATAATAAATACATAATACCACCGCTAGAATGATTACGTCAGACAAAATGGTAGGCACTCAACTATGTTGAGCAGTTTGGTATTTTCAAAATGTCATAAAATATCTGACGTCTTTAAGTGTAATAAACGTATATTAACACAATGTCTGAGACAATTATTTATAATTAATCAGTAAAATTATTGTATACACATGTTACACATGATAATTATTTAGCTACATGTTCGATATTAAGTGAAGGCATTCAAATATTGCTAAATGAAGAATTCTATTCTTTTATAATTAGGATATTTTTATACGTGTGCTTTTTAATAAATACATTTAAAAGATAAATGAAAATTAATGTATGATCTACAAAAGCCCAGAAGGTTCATTAGAAATACGAGATTCGAGTTTCAAGATCTAAATCAATCAATCAATCAATCAGAAGGTGCATTCAAGATTCGATTACTCCCCTTTGATAGGTTTCGATTGGCAAAAAAACCGTTGTATACATTTATATTTAACAGGCTGTTTGATTATAAATTGATACAAGATAGAATGTTTCATGTACCATAGCGAAATAAAAATGAAGTTTGGAATTAGTTGAGCAAAGTATGCTAAAATTCTCATTAAAGCATGTGAAGCAAAACAATGGATTAATACAAAGAATATTATATTATGGTATGGCCATATCTATATAAGAGTAGTGAATTTATTTACATAGATGATTTATTGAGAGAACGAACAGTATTCATGCTCAAATATCTATTGAAACAATACAAATTTGGAGCAGAGCAAACATGGACCTCTAAAAAGCATAAGAGGTGGGATCAAGTGCCGTGGACGAGTAAACATCCCTTGTCGACCGGTCACAACCGGCGTGTGCTCCCTGTCATGATCGCAATATATGAAAGCAAATTTTATTCTATAAAGAATTTCTATATTCAACGCGACTGTAAATAATATTAATCTGGATATGTGAACTATAAGAATATCTTTGGACGTTGAAGTTTGAAACGTACAGTAGACGTATTTTTTGGAACCTTACTGACTTTCACCCTCAAAGAACAACACAGCATACTTTGTTACATAAATGTCATATACCTTGCGATTCTGCTTTTCTTCTATCCAAGATGCCAAAGACTAATGTTTTCATTTTAAGATTGGTATAATACATGTTTGTGTTCTGTTCAACCAATGATATGTATCCTTTCACAGCAGAACTACCTAGGGCAGTGTTCCTCTCGAAAAACCGTAGCCGTCAAAAATGAGTTTTTTCTATGATTCCAGCTTCTGAAGAAACTTTTGGAAAGTTTTTGTTGTCTTCTACATGAAATGTCTGGAAAGTATAGTTATCTGTTTGTTACTGAGTGGCGTATTTCTGGACGTCAGTAGGAATAAAGGTCGGACAAAGACCTGCTGCAAACTTTTTTGCATGGCTTCTTATCTCGTGTTTGACACCTCCTATTACATGAGGTAGGTCATACGATACGATGTAATACAGTTTAAGCACCTGAGAAAGCAATGCACACACGGCCAATAACCCAGAAACAAGCTAGGAGGACTATGAATCTCAACATGATAAGCGAAAGTGTCTGGTAAAAATGCAACCTTATACTGTAAATGAGACTTGAAGGGTTGAAAGTTTGACGATTTTGATATTATAAAAATATGGTAAGTGAAAACTTTTACGATTTATTAGACTTAAACAGTGCTGTTTAACAAGAATGTGAAAGTTTACGAGTGGAAACGTTGACAATTTTCTGTTATTCGTCAATTTCGTCACTGTTACAACTCGTCAAAGTTTCCACTTTTACAGTATGTAACAATAAAAATAAGAAAACGTTGCTGGTATAGATAGCAGGAAATCTCGTCTTGAAACACATGATGAAGAAAAACAGGTTAAACTACGCAAATAGGGGATACCCTAAATGCGGGAAGCATTTCAAATTATTTATACTCGCCAAGATGTCACAACACACGCCAGACTTGGAAAGGAAATAAAGTGATTAAATTCATTGGCAGTGATTTCGGACACACGTAGATGTAATGTTTATAAGCGAGATACCTAAGTAATGATTTCTGTTTCTTTCCTCTGCACAATAAATGGTAAGTATGGTAAGTCCAATCGAGACATGCACCATGTTTTATTCACTGCATTCACGCCGTTAAACAGCTGTTTAAGTTTTGTTTTCTAGGCTTTGTGATTACTTTAGGAATGACTCTAATTCTTGGCCAAATTATTCGAGTATAACCTGGTTTGGGTCAGTTTACGCTTTATAATCCGCGAAGCGGATTATAAAACAGCGTAAGCTGACCCAAACCAGGTTATACTCGAATAATTTGGCCAAGAGTTAGAGTCATTCCTTATAATTTAATTCTAAAATCATTAAACAACTGTGGGTGTAAAATTTCGTTGCTTTTTATTAGTTCAAATTTGCCGCTCAATAATACAACGGAAGTGATGGGAAGCGAGGGGAGGTAAAAACTTATACATAGTCCTAGCAGCCATGTTGTTTTGTTTACATGTGGTAAGATCCAAGTAACTGTTTGAAGTTAAAGGTACATTTATTAAATCTGGAATTTTCCATGAATCCCGAGGACTGGAAATGAGAGGATTGCATGGATACAGACGATTCAGCTGGTTGTCAGGAGGGTGTGTCCCCATACCAAACCAGGTTATACAGAAATAATTTGTGTTCCTTTTTGGATTTTTACCAATCAGAGGCTAGAATACAAACAAAATTAAATTATATTTCATTAATTCTGGATACTTGAAAACTAAAAGGAACTTTTAGCAAATTTGAAATCACAAAATTTTACCAAAATCATTAACATCAAAACGGGAAACTTTTCAACACTTTATACAACCATTCACCACGACAAATCCCAGTCTAGGGTTTTTGACATTATAGGCAGCTACTTTTCAATAAAAATTGAACTCGTAAACTCCCTTACCTTGTCATATTGGTCATATGTAAAATTATTTTGCTAACAACATTCTGAATGTACACACTGGTACTCCAAAGTTGATCGTAAAAAGATGCTTTAGGTTCTGATTGAAAATATGGATTTAGTTTTTGGAGATCAACAATCTGTTGGAATTCCCATGGGTAGGTATTGTGCTCCCATATAAGCAGACCTATTTTTATATTCATATGAAGCAGAATTAAAAAAAACTTCTGAATGAAAAGAAGAGGTCTCTTGCTGTGATCTTCAATTTGATATTTAGATATATTGAAGACTTGATTCGATATATTCCTTTGAACGCGAAATAAAAGACACATCTGTTTCATGCTTGGGTATTTGACACATATGTTTTTTATTTGAATATTTTACTAGAAAAAGACCTTAGCAACCGAACAACAAAACGTTATGATAAGGGTAATGACTCCAATCAATTCTTGGACCAGTTATTTTTAATATTTTTATTAATGCTATTTTCTATTTTGTAAAAAAATCAGATTTGTACAACTATGTAGATGACAACACCTTATCCCATTCAGATCCTATCTTAAAAAAATGTTATTGCTACACTTGAAAAAGAAAGTGGTATTCTCATCGACTGGTTTTCGGCTAATAAAATGCAGGCAAAACCCAGAAAAAGTTCAAGCAATAGCTCTGGGAAAAAAGACGCATGATTAAAACATTACTTTAACTTAAATGGTACAACTCTTGCCTGTGAGCAAGAAGTGAAACTGCTTGGTGTTACTTTTGATTTTAACTTAAACTTCAATTCTCATATATCAAATATTTGTAAGAAAGCAGCTCGACAATTAAATGTGTTAAAACGTGTTGGGAAACATCTCTGTAAACTTGGTTAACTTACTATCTATTATCTATCATTCTTCTAAAATGTCAAACTTTAGTTATTGCTCTCTGGTGTGGCATTTCAGTAGTGAACAGAATTGTAAAAAAAAAAAAAAAAAAAAAAAAAAAAAAAAAAAAAAAAGTAGAAAAAATTCAAGAGCGAGCATTAAGATTTATTGTAATGACTACACTAGCAGTTATGACCAGCTACTAGAAAAATCAAACCTCCCTCACTGAAAATCAGGCGTATGTTAACTTTGTTAATTTCTTAAAATTTCCAATAATAAGGATCCTGGGGACTGAAACTTCTGGAGTAACATCCTACGATGGCAGAGGTGTATTAAGCTCTTCAGGATCCTTTTTTTTTTTAATTCTCTTTTAATTTCTTTTTTTACCTCACAACAATACAGACCTTGCAAATGTTTGTAGGGACTGACCCAATCACTAGGCAGGATGTGTGTTGGTGAGGAACGTAAATTATTTTTGCTTTTAATTTTGGCTATATGCTATACCTGCTTGAAGTTTCTAAGCTAGCTATATTTTCTATTATTACTACAACTAGTGCTTTTTTAATCTGATTGTTTTATGTTTAATGTAGTGCTTAATCTAATTTGCTATTATGATGAGTATTATTATCTATTTATTTATTTTTATTTTAATGGAAACATTATGCATTACGATTTCCGTTTCTTTTCAAATAGTCACTGGGCTTCTTTGTTTTATTTACCATGTGTGTGTAATGTATGTACATGTGTTTTTGCATGCATAATTATGTTGTATATTATTATTCCTGCGATATTTTTAGCTGTGATAGTCGGTTTAAGAGCTCTACAGAGATCATGTTAATTGTTATACTATGTACAAAATGCCGACTTTAAATAAAATTTACTTACTGAATTACTTACTTTAATGAAACGTCATTTGGCAACTTCTGAATAAAAGTGGATGGATTTTGAATCTTTCATCGCTAATTAAAGACGATCAATGCGTAAAATTGTCAAGAATGGCACAATTGAGACTAAAATGTTATTTGAAAGTAATTAACACATACAATATAGTATTGAAATTGTCCAATTTTATTTAAAAATATTTTTAAAAAAAGAAAAAAAAGAAAAAAAGAATTGAGCTAGGATTCTGTCACCAACAAAAATTAGCATGCTGTA